GGATAATTATAAAATGTAAAAATTATGAGAAAATGTGATTTTGCATAACCATGAAAAGATTAAGGAATTAGGGATTTCTATGCTACTATGGTAACAATATAAAGGTTAAATATTGCTATGAGATAATTAACAAGAACAAGAATATAAATATTTGAATTTATAAGTTTTTTTTATTAATATTCATTTAAATCAAAATATACAATGTGATCCATAAGTATTCGAAATTAAAAAATTACTCATCACATCACAACTAATAACTTAAATCACATGAAATTTATGTATTTTGAAGATTAAGACCAGCTAATTTATTATATTATTTTTAATATGATATACGCTCACCATTGCTTTCTATAGCAAGCTTATAACGATACCTCATAGACCTAATTAAATTAATTAGAATAGACTCAGAAATATCTACTCATTCATTTATCATATAATGATGCAGTTTATCTAAATTTTTTGGTATATACTTTTTCACATTATTCTTAACAATATACCAGAGATTTTCGATGGGATTCAAATCGGGACTGTTAGATGGCCAGTCTAAAACTTTGGACATAGTTTCTTCAAGAAATGCTTTGGCAAGACAGCTCGTGTATTTTGGATCATTATCCTGCCGGAACTACTATTCATCTTCTATTAATTGCTTAATTTCTGGAATATGCTCACGAAGGATATTGACATAGAATTTGATATCCATAATTTTAGAAAAACAAAATAAATTACTTTTACCATTTATATAAAATTCTCCTCACACAAAAATCTTTCTTTGATTCTTGAATATACGTCATATCAGCCATGCTCTCTTGTACTAGCACTCTATCGTATTCTGAAAGAGTTTAAAAGCTGTTTTATCTGAAAAGAAAGTATTATCCTAATTATTATTGAGATGTTCACAAGTCCATATTACACGTTTATATTTATGAGCATTAGTAAGCATCAGTGTTCCTAGTGGGAGTGCTTTTTTATATTCGAGAGTAGCCAAATGTCTTCCAATCATTTGATGAGATATATTTACATCAATTTTTGATAATTTTGTCACCAGGATTTTCATTGAAATAGATGAATCCCTTCATATATATTGACCTAATGCCTTTGATGCTCATGCAGTTATCTTCTTGGGTCTACCTCTACTTCTGGCATGTTTATTTGTGTTATATTTTTTGAGTTTATTAATATTATCATATATTGTTGAAAGAGATATATTGATTATGATATGAATTTCTTTGGCATCTCGAATGCCCTGATTCCACAATTGTAAAATGAATTGACGGTTGGTTTCTTGCTTGGAAGTCATAATTATACCAAAGTAAAAAAGAAAAAAAAATAAAAGAAATGGTATCACGAAGAAGTTCCGCGAACAACCCACTTATGACGATTCTTTTCCATTTTAAATTGTGAAAATCGGCCTTAATTTGGCAAAGATATGCATATTTTTTTTCCGCGAAAAATTTTCCGGATACTTATGGACCACACTGTATTAACAATTCTCTATCAAATTTAATAATAAATTTTTAATAACAAGCTTTTCCAAGAATTCATTATACACTTACGTAGTTATTTGATTCAAAAAGAAAAATATGAAATTATTAACCGTTATGCTTTCCAATTATATTATATAACATTACTAAATCTCTTTGATTTAAATTTATGAGAATCTTTCTTATAATATAAATTCCAATAATATTTTTATTGACAATAAGTAATATTAAGTTTGACATTTAGTTCATATATTATGAATAATGCCAATAAAATTGGCTTTAGGAAACATTTTTTTATCAAGGCTCGGATATTTGATTCGTTGAATTTCATGAACGATCAGTAATGTATGGTGAGATACCTACAGGGGTCTGGTACGAAATCCTGAAGAACACAAACCCGAAAGTTATAAGCCCAACAAATAAAATCCTAAAAGAACGCCATCCCGAATTATCGAGATCCCGAATGCACAAAACACTAAAATCAGATAATTTAGTATTCTATGCATTTAAGATACTAAATTTTTTTGGATTTCGATCTTTTTGGATTAGGGATAGTACGGTTGAGCAGCTCAAGCTTGAACCGGTTCAAACCGGTTCTATGTAATTTACATATATATAGTACGGCCTTAACTGGAACCGAACCGACAAATTACTATTTGGGGTGCCGTTCATCCGGAATTTTGTTCATTCGGGATTTCGATCTTTCGGGATGCCTTATTTCGTGCTTACGTTTATCAGGCTTATAAATTTTCGGGATTGTGAAAAAATCCGTTCTCATTAAATAATTAAATCGAGTAAATATTCCTGGTATTGACGAGGAATTCATGATGATCTATCGATATGTTAACGAAATACTTACAGAATTCGCAAAAAAAGCAAAAGTCAGTTTTATTGATCTCTATTATATTTCAATTGCTCTTCTGCTCGTTAATTCTCAAAATCTTTTTCCAGGAAACATTTCAGATTTAGCGTTCCTATTTAATCTATTCGTGAATAAATAATTTCGAGAGAGTCAATATAATTAATAAATCAAATACCTGAATTTTTATACCTAGTTTTACGTGTATGATTTATATGTTAAATCTTTATTACGTGTGCCCCCGACACCTTTTTTGTATAGGGGTCTGTTTTCAGATTTTTTAAACTAATTAGATGATTAAACGTTAGTGGTAATTTGATAAAGAAAAATATTAGTGATGATTTTAGTATTGATGATATTTCAGAGAATATATAAATATTTATTTATCGTTAATATATACAATATCAGAAAAACTGTACGCTGAAAAATTATAACATCTCTTAAATTCTAATGTCGTCGTTTGGCATAAATACAATCGTTTTTGTATACATATTCATATTTACTTGACCAGGTAAAGATGATAAAAATTCATCACTTAAACCTTCACAATCAAGAAACTCAACTTTATATAAATTTACAAACTTCTCAAAATAACCGTTCTGTAACGAAAAAGACTCCGCAAAACTACACTCTTTGAAAATAATTTCTTTTAAGGAAACTGTTTGAGCATTTAACGCATTTAAGCATATATCCATCCATGTACCGCCACCTTGATCGATTATTATCGATTCCAACTTCTTTTGCGATTCAATGATGCCTGACGTTTGTTTTCCACTACGAATAACCCTTTCTTTGCTGATGAGTACATTTCTGAAAGATATCTTCAATTGTATAAACTTAGTCTGTTGAATCTGAATTGCGTGGATAATTTCACTCAATGCGACATTGTCAATAGGCAAGTTCCAGAAAATTCCCCATAATTCTAAAACTTTAAGATTCTTGGCATCTCGTATAAACATCTCAAATAATGCTTTAAAGCACAAAGCTTGAGCCAACCTATCACCTTTTGATGCTTCAGGCTTAGGAAACCACGACCCAATTGATTTAAGTAATATACTATCTGGCAGATTCTCCAAATAGCATTGATATTGAAATGTAGGTGAGTTGAGATTCGATAAAGTGCCTAAAGCTTTAAATTCTTTAAGTAAAGTAGACTTTTTATCGTTTGTGAGACAAGTGAAATATGTTCTAAAGAGAGCCTGAATCTTTTCGGGATGTTGCCGGTCATATGGGATTAATTGGAAAGGGTTGCGCCACAAGTATGGAATTATAGTTCGGCACCATAAACGACTTACTAGCAAACAATTGTACATTGATTTTTTGTCTGTGGTAAGATGTTCGAAAAATGGGTGAAGTAAATCTACAGGGAGCGATTTGACAGTCATTTTTAATTATGATTTTTGTTTTGAGAAAAATTGGGTTAAAACATGCAAAGTTAAATTGATTGTCCTTCTTTTATACATGTATAACCATAAAAGAATTCGTCACAAGAATGTTGTATGCATAATCTATATTAGATCGATAACATTAAGATACATGTACATGTAGTTATTTTGATATAAGAAAAGACACGAATAAGGCAAACACAATTATATTTCAATCTTTTGCATATATTAAAGATGTTTACAATGACCTCAATATAACTAAACTTGATACATGTATAGTGGAGCATTAATTAAATCTTGGTAAACCAGAAGTTTCATCATTTCTGAATTTGTGCATTTTTTTGGAATTGAACGTCGTTTCGCAACACAAAACGATTTCTTCCTTTAGGGAAAAATTTACTACATGTATATCGAGTTTATTAGTAAATTCATTAGTGAAAGGCTTTATTATGATTTTGAACTCAAATTTTCTATAGAGCGAGTTTATTTAGTCTTACTACTATAACGAGCTTTATCATAGAAAATCTGCACAACACGTGAAAAGAATCAAAAAATTTAAAGTAAAATTTTAAATATCTATTATTTCAGAAAGATAAAAAGTTTAGAATGATAACTCTAAATTGATATATGTTAATATATGATTTAGTAATATTTTAAATATTTATTATTTCAGAAAAGATAAAAAGTTTATAATGATAACTCTAAATTTGATATATGTTTATATATGATTTTTGAATATACTTATTGGTTTGGTGTCAAATAGTTTTTTAATATAATAACAATCTTTATAATCTTTATAAAAAATTTATGATATTGTCAAATCTCTTTATAGTCGTATCTCTGCACCGTCTCATTTTGTTATGTGAATTTTCCAGTAATTAAGTAACTATAATTAAAAAAAACCTCACTATAATCATTCAATTTATTTTTTTAATAAAGTTACCTATAAAAATTTTACTATAATTTATTTTTACTAACATTAGGTAAAATTGCTCTTTGGAATAAATATATAATATTATTTGTTTAATTAAGATTCTGAATATGATAATAATTATATTAATTTTATATAATAATGAATATAAAGTCAAAATTATTGTAAAATATTAATATTATCAGAACATAAACAATTTATTTGTAAAATATAATGTGCTGGATACCTACAAAATAAAATTCATATGTATTTTTTCAAATAATAACTCATATTAAGTTTAATTCAGACTGAAATTTGAATTACATCTATACATATTATTTTGCAAGCTATGATATTAAAAATCCTATTTAAAGTTATAAAATTCAAAATATTAATAATAATATAAATTTTATAAAATTTGATTTATTATATAGTAATACTGAATATAATAACTGGATTAATATAAAAAATTTGTATAAATTTATTATATTAATAATTAATATTTTAATATTATATAATTTTTATAAAATATTTTTAAATATAAATCTTAAATTTCTTAAATAAATATATAAAATCTAAATTCTAATTATAAGATATAATTTGAAAATTTTTTTATAACTTTCATTAAAAAAATTTTAAATTAAATTAAATTTTAATTTGAATTTCAATTAAAATTAAAATTAATCTTTTAATTTCAAAAATTAAAATTAATTAATATATTAAATAATATTATAAAAATAAGAACTTATTAATATAAATTATTAAGAAATTTTGATAATTTATTAATTTTATTCTAATAAAATTATTTTAGATATGTAAATTATTAAAACTTTATTTATATTATCAAAATAAATTATAATACATAATATTATTAATTCTAATATATAATAATATGTAAAAAAATAATAATTAGTTTTTTGATTATAATAAATTGAATAATTATTCAAAATATATATATATTCTTTTTAATATCAAGAGAATAAGTTTATTTAAAATTATAAAATAAAAAATCTTAATAAAATTTTTCATAAATTTATATTTTATATTCAAAAATTTAGTTTATAAATTAATTACAAAAATTTATATATAATTTTTTATAATAAAAATATTTAATAATAGCAAAAAAATAATTTAAATTATATTTTTCTTTATTATATAATAATAAAGTATTAAAATTTTATAAAAACATAATAATTATATATAATAAATATATTTACTTAAAGCTTAATTATATAATAACTTATTAAAATTATTTTTAATTAAAATTTTTATTATTAATTTTACAAGCTAAATTTTTAAATATAAAATGTAAATTTATAAAAAATTTTACTAAAATTTTTATTTTATGATCTTAAGTAAACTTATTTTCTAGATATTAAAGAATATATAAATAAATACTTATAATAACAATCAAAAGTAATAACTCAGGAGCTAAATTTATTAATAAAATATAATGAAAATTAAAATTTTCTCTCTATATTAAAATTTATAATTTTATTAAAAAATAA